CAACCATATCGATCCCTAAACTTTAAAAGCAATGATAAAAGTTGACGTAATCATCCATCTAAATAGAATTAATCTTGTTTTCAGGTGCTTCATCCAAGCATGCTTACTTGTTAGATAAAAGTTGGCTGTTTTTTTTTTCTTGTCTTTCTATGCACAGTAAACATTGCCCTTGGAAAGGCCACAATTCAGTCTTCGACATTTAACAATACTCAACTGGGTGTGTCAGGTGTGTCAGGGAATGCAGTGGATGGTAATTCCAATACTGTATTTAGATATGGAAGCTGTGCACATACTCGGGGAAACAATCCAAGCTGGTGGAGAGTTGATCTGGGTTCAGATAAGGTGGCAGTCTCTGACATATTCATAGTCAACAGATTTTCAACACATACCACTGTGTTGGCCAGAAGTGAAAACTATAAAATTGCATTGGGTGAGCAGTCACTATACCATTCATGTAAACAAGATGAGCTAAGCTAAAGATAAAAGGGTACAATGAAAGTATTAATCTAAGGCATTTCTCGTGATCAAGGTTGAAAAACCATATTAATATGCAGAATTTTGTCACACACAAGTATATACATGTATGTGAATATTGAGAAAAATGTTTTAGAGGGAGTTTGATGCTGCTTTAATTTTCAGTTACTGTTTCTGTTGCTGCTGAATAGATATTTGAATCCCTCAAAATACTTTGCAATTAAGTCATTATAATTACTTGCTTCAAACTATAATGATGGAATATTTATTCTGTTTCTTGTTAGTGGTTCAGTTACACACTCACATTTTTCATGTACATGCAAAATTTTATTTTCCTTCAAAATTGTGTCTCACCAAAACCCAGTTTTAATGGGAAAAAGAAGCTCACATTATTAATGAAATGCATTAATTATAGATACAATTGTTTGTCGCATATTTGCTACATAAAGTTCGTTGAGATGAGCTGCTATTTTTTTTATAACATCAGGTGACAACTCACAAGTGGTAAACAACACTTGGTGTAAAGGACTCTACAGTTTTGTCAACTACTCAGCATCAGCTGTTTGTTTTACCGACCCACTGACAACTGGCAGATATGTGGAGATATCGACAGTAAAGAGACAATTTCTTAACCTCTGTGAAGTGGAAATCTATTTGCGAGGTACATGTACGTGTCATTAAGCACAGAGATTGGTACTGATTGGTATTTAATTGAAGCAAAATTTTGAACGTTTTTGTTGAATTTTAGTTTTTAGCATCAACCTTAGTTCCAAAATCTTCTAATTTGACCACATTTTTAATGCAACCAAATGGCGATTAAGATAACTGCTTGTGTCCTTTCAGATAATCTTGCATTTAGAAAACAAACAGAACAAAGCAGTGTACAGTATGGTGGTGTGAGTAGCAGGGCAGTTGATGGAATAAGTAACCCAAGCTATAATGCTGGAAGCTGTACCCACACTGGCAGAGATTACAACCCTTGGTGGAGAGTTGACCTGGGACAAGTTGAACCAGTTTCAGAAATATACTTAGTCAACATGATAGATAAATGGTTTTTCAGACAGAATAGTTTTGAGATCAGAGTGAGTAGGTTGGATGACTTTTTGAATTTTTATTACTATACTGTAACTAAATTCAATATAGACGAATGTAAGATAAAACTAACAATGATCAAAGTAAAACTTAAACAAAATGAAACTAGAGCAATACAAAGCCATGCTTACTGATTGTCCTTGCTGTACCTGAGAACAGTTGGTGAAATTTGCAAAATAGTGACAAATTCAAGAATGAAAAGTCACAACAAAGTGATACTGACTCAAAGCATGAGGTTAAGAAAAATTTAATTAATGATCTGAAAGATAATTTTAGATAATAATCAACCTGACATCAGTCACATATCCTGTGGGGTCAACTGTGCATTGAGAAATCCTCTCTCATAAGGTTGGCAGTGTGTTAAAGTTTTCAAATTGTCTGCACATTTCAACTGGTGGGTAATTCGAATAAACTTTCTCTATATAAACAGTCAGAGTGCCATCAAATGGAAAATTATGTCATTAATTTGCATCACAATAAATTATCACTTGCCTTCAGCTTTGCATGAGCAAGATGTCATGGAATCATGGAAGTTGGCAGACTCTAGATCTGAGGTTGATCTGATATCTAGCACAGCTGGCTTTACATTGCATTCTGAGGCTGGAATCTTACTTTCATATTTGCCTTTAAAATGAGGATTATAGAATTTAAATAGATGCTGAATGTTAAAACTTATAAAAGAGTAGGTCCTCTTTCTGTTATGTTATCATCATGTAAACCAGGGCCCACTTGTTTAAAAGGGAAAATGTAAATGCTATTTAACTTATAAATCGCTATCAAGCAGACAAGTGTTAGCAAAATGTGCAGCACTGTTGACTGGGTGGATATCATTATCAAACCTTTGAATATTACTTAAGGGCCAGGAGGACAACCAACGCGTCCTTCACTCAAACGTGCTGGGCGTTGTCTCCAAAGTGTTAGCCATAATTGGCTTCATGTAAGACTCTCATACCATTGCCTAACAATAGTAGGGTAAACAAGTCCTTGATTACTTTCCCTGCTAAAGCCAACATCGTTTTGTGATTCTATACAGGCACAGTATCTGATAATAATGGAGGAATTGCCAATCCCAGGTGTGGTGATAAGCAGAGTTATAGTCTTCCAAGAGGAAAAGGTGTATCCTTTTTCTGCCGCCCTGTTTTGTTTGGAAGATATGTGACAGTACGAAGTTTAAGAACTCATCATGAATACTTCACACTTTGTGAAGTTGAAGTTTATTCTGAAAGGAGAGGTAAAAATCTTATATAAAATAACATAATTTGTATGTTTGACAAACTCACACTTATTTTAAAAGTCTCAAGTTATTGCACAGAGGAGGTATAATGCTAATGTACACTAGTTCAATAGTTTATAGGTTTTTTTTCAACAATTTGCATTGCCTTTATGATCTTGGTGATTTTCTGAAGATGACTGATGAGCTCTGTTGTTATGGTTGAGCCTTGTGTATACATTGGTGATTTGAACTTCAGTTGGTAAACTTGAAGTCCTTGTATGCTCAACATTATGGCCATTTTCTTGAATATGCTATTCTCATGCATTTACCATCAGAGTATTGAGAATATTAATTTGCCCTCACTACTTCAAATCAATTCTTAATTCATGTTAGAGCTAGGTAGTGGGCTCTCTGCTGCAGTGGCAAATGCCACTATAGCAGGTTCTCTTCGTGTTACAATAAAACCACTCTTATAGGCTTTCCTCTAAAATATTTGGGTGAGTGTGAGTTCTTTCTGTCTTGGTTTTATTTGCAGTACCTGTAGTTGCATTAAAAGAAATAATAATTATTTCTCTTTCAAACCTTTTCTGTGAAGTGGAAAACATTGGTACAATGTTGAACATAGCTTAGATATATGTCACCTATTATGTAGTTAAAGTCTAGTACTAGATCTATGTGGAAGGAAAATACTTAAACTAAAACATATGACACATTTAAAATGAAAATTAACCATTGGATTTTTAGACAGCTCTGATATTTATTTTAACTGAATCCTATACAAACGCAAATTAGTTTTGAATTGGTAGGTTTACTGTCTATATCATGCGTGTTGCATATTATGTATATATGCTCTTAAATTTACCTATTGTAGTCATAGTTTAGTTTTGACTGATTTCAGCTTGCCAAATGCAAGCCATTGGTGTGGCTAGCACTGACACACTCCCTGATGCCAGCTTCTCAGCATCAAGTGAATGTAGCGGTTTTGAAGCTTTTAAAGGTCGACTGAATGCATATGGGGGATGGTTACCAAGTACAAATAACAAAAGTGATGATTACCTTCAAATTGATCTGCAGTACGAGTTTCTTATTTGTGCTGTAGCTACTCAAGGGAGGTCAACTTATGACGACTGGACAACAGAATACAAGTTACAGCTATCCTTTGATGGTTCCACTTTTGTAACCTACAAGGAAAATAATGTTGACAAGGTTAGTTTGAAAAGCCACAGCAGTGATGCAGCACAGAGCCACAGAAGATAGAAGCTAGATTATAATTAAATGCCATTTGCAAGATTATAAATGCCATTTGCAGGGCTCGATACTCAGGCTGACTTTTCAACTTACCAGCCAAGTGGCTAGTGACATCTTAGACCCTGAGTTACAATGATTTCACTTTGTTTACTAGCCAAACTGGATGGTGGAAGTTGAAAACCACTAGCCAAGACTGAATTTCTACTGGTCTCATGTGGCTTAAGTGGGCTACCGTTAGTGTCAAGCCCTGATTTGAGGGCTGAAGTCTCTGAACTCTGAACCCTGGAGAAAGCTTATGGGATGATTATTGTGTTCTAAGATAATAATAGAAGGTCACAATGTTAAAGTGCATCTCTCCTTGTGGTACTGCATGAGATTTAAATAGAAATGAGCATGCTATTTTGGGTAGACAGAAATGCATGTCTCTAAATTAAACTAAGAAACTTGAATGTATAAAAATTATGTTATGGGCTAAGCATCCCAGTGGGCATGTGTAGCATACGACCTGAAGGCTTCATTTGTCAGATATACATTTGAAGTAAATTGGATTAAGTCTGGCCTTATAAAGTAGGAATAACTTAATTAGCACGTCCCGAGACTTTTAAGTACAATGGCCTCTTATGTTGTCTAGTCAGAGCATGCATACACTGACGGCTGGCTTTTTATAGCTGAGGGATGTCTATAATGATGACATTGTTCTAGTCAGCCATGCTTTTGACAATAAAATTGATGTACAGTTAAATCATCAACTGATATTTTCATGTAATTGTTTTAGATTTTCAGTGGCAATTCTGGAAGACATGAAATTGTCAAACATATTGTCAGAGATGTGAGGGCAAGGTTCATCCGTTTCCAGCCTGTCAAGTTCGAGAGAAACAAAGCTTTGAGAGTAGAGGTGTATGGAGTACTTATGTCCAAAGGTATAATTTTTTTTTATTTTTGTCATCAAACTTTTACACTCTACAATGAATTAAGGCTGCGGCAGAATGGCCAATTTATTAGTCACTCTTTTTGGTTGCTGGATCTACATTGTAGTTTATGAAACTTGGTGAACACTTCCACTAAAAGGCATTAAGCTATGACTCGCATTCTTGAAGGTGCGCAACCATGTTAAATATATTGACGGTAGTCTGACCTGAAGCCGGGTCTACAAATGGAAAGTTGATCTTTTTAAATCAGTTTTGGGATACATTCTTATCCCATATATAAGTAATTTAAGTACATATCTTAGCTCCTAACAGTTCCTAAAGACACTATAAATCACTTTTCACTAACTGGAAGAAGCTGGAAGAGAAGCTTCATGCATGAGGGGCCAAGTTGAATTTGATCATTTGAATACTAATTGAATTGATTTTTATATACAAAAATGAAGAATGTTACGGCATCATTATTATTATCATTTATTATTATGCTCATCATTACTATTATTGCTATCATTCAATTATCATTCTGTCTTAATTTTCAGTTCCCTCACAAGCACCCAGTAACTTGACTTTGTCTGCAAGTTCCTCTACAAGTATTGCAGTTTCCTGGCAGTTACCTCCCGTGTGTTCCAGACATGGGATCATTGTAGGATACAAATTGTTCTACAAAAAGAAAGGGTTTATGGGGTCAATGTCTGTTGAAACTATCAATGGTGGAACAACCTTTTCTGGAGATATTACTGGTCTGGATAAGTACACGGAATATGAATTTCAAGTGTTGGCTTTTACTTCTCATGGTGATGGAGCAAAGAGTTCTGTTGTGGTGGAGAGAACAATGAAAGACGGTAACGGAAACTCGATCGTTTCTAGCAGGTGTAGTTCCACTCTTGGGTGGTTACATGTATATCATTGTAACGTTGGCCTGGAATAAATTACGATGCAGTAATATTATGTTTGACCTGGAAAGGAAGGCCTGACACCAAAGCCATTAAAAGCCGTGTCAAACATGCGGATTCCGAATGTTATTTTGATTGGTCACTTAAATAGTAGGAAACCAAAACGGAAGTGAAATTCCACACGTAGGTGCCATGCTCCGCCATCTTGTTTCTTTGTGAGACGTGACAGACGTTATTTACCATATTTCTTATTAAAAAAAAGTCTAAATGGATCAGGAAGAATTCTAAAAAGCCCTCGAAGAAAGTCTCAAGATATTTCCTGGCATCTCGCTCAAAACCGAGCAGAAGCGATGCTTGCAATATCTTAAATGTGAAAATTCAGCACACGATCGGCGGATATTCTCTATTGTCACTCGTGTTAAGATACTTTTATTATAAAATCAGCTTATCTTCGAATAAAGAAGATATATTCTTAGACAGTAGTAGTCATAAAAGAAGCATTGTAATCCGAGTAATTTTAACAGCTTTAACAATCAAAGATTTAATCTGATCAACGTAAACACGCTTTCAGTCTTACCTTGACTAAAAGTGGCGCATTTACATCACAACATACATCAATGTTCATTAGATTACTAATAGCATCTTCAACTGAAGTTTCTTCCTCTGTATGTGCTTTGAATAATGATCTTTTCACTCGAAAGTTTCGTTGTTGTCGTCGTTGTTCCATCGCGCGTTGGTTTTCGGCGTTTTCCCGGAGTTACACCCGTAGGTGAACGTTTATGAATTACCGCCTGCTGAATTCTTTAAGGGGAGCCTACGCCATTAACTGTTTCTTTAAAAGCTTCTTTGAGCCCTTGAGATACCTTGTAGCAATTAACTACCTTTCTGGAGCACTTCACACACACAAAACGTCGATCGGAAGCTCGGATATTTATGCCGATAAACCAAAGAAGATCGCGTAATACGAGGGATTTCTTCCCAACGGAGATTAAAATCTCTTTGTTTCTTGTTTCGGTTAACAAATGCACTGATTCAGCTTGTTTCTCCTTACTATCAAATTGATTTTGCAGATTTCGCAATTTTTTATTCTCTTTTACATTATCTAACTCCATTCAGTGACTCACTGTCAAGCGCTTACGCGATTTCGCGCCAAAAAATAATCTGGGCGCGACGTGTGTTTTGACGTGACAACATGGCAACCGGAAGCGATTGTGATTGGCTACTTTTCTTACGTCAACGGGAAGTCCAAGAAGAGGGCGGAATGGCTTCTAGACTGTTTTATGTCAAGCTCTCCCCTCTTTCCCTCTCCCCTAATTTTTCTTCCGAGAGCCTGATTTTTCCCCCGAGAGCCTGATACTCAGGTTAATCAGAAGATTACCGGCTAACAAAGCTTCAGGAACGGACAAAAATTTCACTCTACAGAAACAGCTCTGCTAAACCGATCAGTTACTCCAAGCTATGGATAGCAAGAAAATTCCAACCATGATTCTGCTAGATATGTCTGTGGAACTCATTAAGCAATAATCTTGAGTGTTTAAAATGTCCCTAGAAATTTAAGCGTCAATTCACTAAGCTGCTATATGGTTAATCTAATTATTCAAATAGTGTTATTTTTCTGGAGTATATTTAGTTATAACTATAGTTTTAATTTTTTTTTATTTTAGTTTTATTTCTTTTTACCATTTGTATTAAAGCTGAAAATCATATTCAGGGAACTATCTGTATCTGTGTAGATAAGATACCATATTAAAAAGAAGCAAAATCTCTATTACCAGTACTTTCATTGCAGTCGCTTTATGTGAAATGGAATAATTAAAATCAATTTTAATAAAACCACAAAACATGACTTTGTAAAGATGAAATAAACAATTTTTAAAACTCGAGTTTCCAGATGGGATTTGAACCCACGGACTAGATCACGGAGGGTCGTGGGTTCAAATCCCATCTGGAAACTCGAGTTTTAAAACATGACTTTGGCGAGATTAAGAAAATACTGGAATTAAACTAAGATGAAAGAGGGTGATTATGGGCGGAGAAAGTTAGCAGGGGTTGGAATTGACTTACACGGACCCTAAAAACTTCTCAGAGCATGATTTTTTTAACTTTTGAATGGTTTTATTTTTATCTTAGAACCTAGGGGTGGCCCAGCTAATGTGTTATCTGCTGAGGTCAACGAGACCACCTTTAACATTTCATGGGCACCTCTATCAAGAGAACAGACCAATGGCGACATCATTCTGTATAATGTCAAAGAAGAATTGTTGTCTCGGGGAACAAGCCAGAAAAGATCTTCTTTGAGTAGCAAAACAGTTAATACAACAAACACATTCATTTTATTGAATGGATTACGGCTTTGTTCGCAATACCAAGTGTCTGTTCGAGCTTATACCAAAGTAGGACCCGGTCCATATGGTCCACCTCTAGAACTACCGAGAACAGCAGGTAAATAAATATGATATACATCAAAATTGCCCTCTTAGATTGATTGAGGTAAAACCAAAGCCACGGTATACACTCTGGCAAATCAGAATAGAGGATAGTATCACATGGAACCAACGAAAGCACAAACGTTGGGTAAAAGTATGTAACTAAGTCATTTCATCATATCTATACGGTCCTGCACACCTACTTGATAAACACTGAAGTCGTGTCAGTCACATTCCGATTGCAGGAGAGGTTAACAGGTTTTGAAACAGAATTTTGGTGATAAGAACTGGAAACTAAAGAATGCAATATCATAATATCTTAACGAATAATTGCTTTTATGTCGCTTTTTTGAGGAACGTGATATTTTCTTTAATACTGAAACCATTATGATTTTTCTCAAAGACCCAGGAACACCTTGGGGGTTGAGTGCTTCAAATGTTGGAACAACGCAAGTGAGACTAGAATGGAAAGAGCCTAAGCTTACTACGAAAGAAGGCATCAGCTATAGAGTAAGATGAACAAAAGCGAAGGAAATTACTCTCTAAAAGTTAAATGGAATATTTTAGCTCAGTAATTCAGTAATTGTTTCTGATATTAAAAGCGCGACTGGCCAACTTGAAACGCCTACGATTAATTTTTTGAAGGTTGTGTTGTAATTAATGGAGCCTTTTTTGCGTTGATTTAAAACTATATTTGCTTCTGCGGTTATTGAAGTACATTTTTCGACACTAATCTAATGAATTCAGTAACTATTCGAAGAAAATAAACCAATTTTATTAGAGTTTATTTATCATTTCTTCAATATTTTTCAATGATTCCTAGATAGTTAAAGATAGTCCTAGATAGGAAATAGGTTTTATTATTTCGTCGGGGCTGATCGGTACGGTTGCTTTGTATTTGCATTGCTTTTCTCTGAATCTCTTTCATCCCAACATCAGTTTGCATCTCTTTACGTTTCCTACTGTACTCACTTTTTCTAACAATCAAGAGCTTCTTCAGTTGGTGATCATTTTCTTTATCCTTGTGACCTTAATGCTTGATTCAGATGTGATGCTGTTTGGAGAAATTAGGCCCTTATCACTCCTAAGGAGAAAAAAGTTTAAAGTAAAACTGCTAACTTTTTTCTCTTTAAACGTTAGAATCTCTTGCTCAATAAATTGGTGTTTTATTTTACAAATTGTTTTCTTTAATAAGGTGAAGTATCTCGGAACAAAGCCTTACAATGAGAGTTTTCGAGAGGAAGGTTTTCAAGATGTGGGCAGTTCCACTTCCTACACAATGAAAGGTTTAGTTCCAGGTTCTATCTACGAGTTTCAGATTATTGTAAGCTCTGTATGTGGACTCGGAGTACCCAAAGGATTTCCTGATAGGGTGGAAACAGAGATGACAGGTAGACATTTTCTATTCTAAAGTCAGTTAGAATTTCAGTATCATTGCACGACACGTGGGAAGTAACTCCTTCAAAACATAAAGATAATCTTTCAAGTGCCTTGGATATCTGAGGAAATAATTTCAGAGTCGGAATTTACCTGGCACATGCAATTGGAGTTCACAGTATCTTACTTTGAATTAGCATGGTAGGCAGACGTATCAGTACTTAAAAATGAATAGTTTTCAAATATGAAGGGTCCTTTTCGATTGCGTCTCGTAAAATCAGACCATGAATAGCCTCTGAATGTAGAGACAAGGAATCCTTTCACAACTTTAACATGGAAACAAAAATGGCGAGTAGGAAAAAAAGGATTATAAACCAAACAGAAGCATGATATTGAACATATCATTTCATTAATATAAGTGTTAGGGCACAATTGTTGGAATATCGTCAAGAACAATCTGCCTAAATATATATGAACATTATCCCCGAACAATCCCTGGTTTATGAGAAATTTATTAAGCGACTGTAGTCTGGCTTTGGCCCATATGAACGTTGACAAGTACCATGTTATTCCTGTCAGCTCAATTGGTACATGCTTTTATTGAGTATTTTACAGTCTAATAATATATTAATTGAACTGCGAACTGGGCTAACCACAAGCAATAAGGATAAATTACGATGAAACGAACTTACATATCTGTCCCGCGACACCGTAGGCCTTTATAATCTCTTTTTGTAGACCACAGCAAAAAATGTCTACTCCACACACACGCTCCGCACGTCCTAAATCAATCACATCCAAAAATAGCTGAAGAACCTAACTGTAACGTAAAGCACTGTCACGCAAGTGACGCGTGTAACTGTAACTTAAAGCGCCGTCACGCAAATGACGCACATCAACAATGCATGTAGACTCTCTTGTTTGAACCCTAGCTCTTAGTCAGTAGCTTTTCATGTCCATAACTCTTAGAAGACGAGGGAACGAAGTTTCACTGATAAGAATTTCTTTCTTATTCAATATTTTAGTGCCTATCAGGTGATTGTTCTGAAAGTCTGTGATTGTTATCAAGAGCTTTTCAGAGACTTTCATTTAAAGCTGAAAGATTTGAATAGAAACAACGACACTTTTTATCCATTTTACGTTGCTGCGGAGATTAAAAATAATCCTGTGCACGATAAGTCTTGGAAATTTAAGGTTGGTGACGGGAAGTCATATGGAGCCTTTTTTAACAAAGAACTGACAAGAGGAGAAAGCTACATTGTCTACCAAAGAGCCCTAACCAATCACAACAGTGTAAGTATATTTTACTTTCTTCAAAATAAGATAAGTAATCCAAACGTTAGACTGGATTAAAGCAATAGAACACATTTTTTCGGGCTCTATAACAGAAAGCCACCCAGGATGTTGGGAGAACACGCCGAGGAAAGCTTATAAATCACGAGCCGAAGGCATTGTAACATTCAAAGAGGCTTTATCACGTTTTAGAACCCGGATCTGTATCTGCATGGAGACTGAATTAACCAGTCAGAAATGCATACTATTTTCATTATGTTATAAAAGTAGATAATATTTTCTGGGGAAACCATGATGTCACTGATTGTTTGTCAGGACTAGATGTTTTTTCCTAATATCAGGGAGTCAAAAGAAGTATTAGTTACTTTTTGGGTATGTTTCTCAGCAAATTTTAGAGGGAGAAGTCAGCAAAATCGCCATGATTTCTATTAAACCAGGTAAGCGATTCAATTGTCACTTGATACTTAGAAGCCTTTCTTTTCAAAAGCGAAAATAATTACTATGAGTGATTAAGGACCTTCGGTTGGTAAATTAATAGTTTGAACAGTTGAAGTTCTCTACTTTGGTTGCATGGGTAGGAAAATATCTAACAAATTCGCTTCTAGGGTTAATGTTTCCCGAAGAATCCTGATGTACCACATCCACCAGCTTACTTTGCATATTGTACAACACAGTTACAGTAACTTCCTTGTTCTTATTGTATATCATTTCATTTTCACCGTGACTAAAAATCGTCTAATTTAATTAATGAACAGCAAACACGTGTTTCGTCGAAATTCAGCTGTATGGCATATATAAACATTTGCGATAGCGTTGGTCAAGTGGACATAATAAGGTTGTCCTTAATGTTTAGGTCTCATCCCCTGTCAATATTCAATCACAGACTTTTGCAACTATTATCTTTTCCTTTCAACATGCAGGGCCACAGTGTATAACTCAAGAGACAAAAGGAGAAAACTGTAAGTATTATAGATATCTCAGTGGTAGGGAGGAAGAGGCTGACGACTTTTGAGCTAGGTGACTTTTTGATCAATTCGAAAATTTGTATGTAAAGGGCGATCATTGGAAAGAAATGTTTTTATATTATTGATGGAGGATTAAAAAAAAGTCTCTTGAAACAATTTGAGTGGTCTTTTCTGTCTCTGGGTAACATGGGTGATCATGATGTTGTAACGTTCTGGAAAATAAGTCCACTTTCATTGCTTGAGTGTGAGGGACAAAGTCTTGCAAAGGTGCTTAAAATTGTGTCATTTTGATTTACAGCTGAAAGCCAAGTCCTCCTCGCTGCTGTCATCACTCTTTCTTTCATTGTTTTTTTCTCTCTTGTTTTAAATGGTACACTGATATGGCGATTAAGACAAGCTGAGTCTAACAAAAGAACAAGCATAGTAGACAGTGGTACCCCTCAAGTCCACCCCGGTGTTTTTCAAGTGTCAGAGCCTGGTGTTTATATGGAACTACAACCCAGGCCCTCTGACGGCCAGTCACGTGAACCACCTGAATACCAGTCATTGCAGGACAGACGAGTGACTTCAGATTACTACAATATGGAATTTTTAGAAGGACGCTCGAATGACAAGGGAAAAGTTTATGAGAATATGGAGTGAAATGTCCTCCACCTGGAAAAATGTGTGGACCATCCCTAATTAAGGCGATCCGTGGTGTTAGTTTAGTGAATCCCCATGAAGTTCATTGTAGTGTTGTACCGTTGTTACTTCACTACACATGTTGATTTTTTTTCTCAATTTGAAATGATAATTTTTGATGCCATAGGTATAGCAGTAATTAAATCACCCGGATTTATGAAATATTCTTAAAAGTATGTCCTGTTCTCTTTTATTATTAAAGCCTGTTCCTAGTTGAGGTTTGCCAAATTTTAAGCAGTTCATCGCTTCTATGTGGTCAACGCAAATTATCCTTTCAGTTTTGTTTTTTTTATAATAATTTCTACAGGTTATCAAAGTAGTTAAGTTTAGTAAATAAAACGATGGAACCTAATTAATTCAATCGTTTTGTCACATTCCCTTGCATGCTTTCACAAGGATTGCTTTTGAAAAAGCTCGGTATCGACTAATAAACAATAGACTATTTTACAACCCTAACGGAATATTTTTAACGTTTAAAAGTAAATTAGAATTGAAATGTTAACGTGTCTGTGGTAGTATTTCAACGGAAAACGTTTTCACTTGAATGATATGAAACCAAAGAACTTTGCAAGAACATATTACAAAGAATGAAAATGTTTAACTTATAAGAAAAAAGAGATGATTGTATTTACCAATGTAGGAAAATATGGCAGCTTTATTTAACCCTCTACACCCTAAGTTTAGTTAGCACATTCCATATTGTTTCCTGGGTTACACTAAGGTGCTGACAAAGAAAGATTTGCCTAGAAATCAAGTGCTACTTGAGTTAGTGATCATTTTTCTTAATCTCATGAGCTTACTTTTTAATTGTGAGGTGATGCCTTAAGAACAAATCAGATATTAGTCACTTTTAGGGGCTAAAAGGCTAGCCCACAGTGATCAGAGACCATCATTTTAAGCGCTAACTGATGTAAGGGAAATTTTGTTTTACCTCTGTTTTTCGCAGGGTTTTTTATAAATTTGTTTTCCCTTCTGCTCGTCATTCAGCGTCACGTCAACTTTAACCTGTCCCTTCAATCTGCGCTTTTTCAATAAATATGCTTGTTGACACTTCAACTCCCAAATATGATCCAAATGTACCTTTTCTTTCCGGTATCACCGATTGTCCAACGATGATGCTTCGTATAAACTCTAAAAAAGAGGTTTTAAGTTAAATTTCGGACGAATTTTATAAAAGGCTAGGGGCAGTTTTAGTGACAACTATTACTAATAATAATGGGGCAAAAATGATTTAGCAATGAACAATCCACGATGCAGCTATTCTTGTCCCCTGTTTCGAAATATCCAGCGGAGAGAGATATAATTACATGCGTTGCAGCGTGTTAACTCTATATGTGTCTCACCCTTCTTTATTCCACGCGTTAGCCAATGACCTTGTCAGTAAGTTTCATCCGAGTAAATGGAAAAATTAAGCTTCTTTCTCTCTCTTTCAAGCCACTATCTTTTTCTTCTTTTTGGGGGCTTATTAGTAAGTCAATGGAAATCTGTTTAAAAAAAGACTGCAGAACTGAAGAATTTCATGTGCAACGAATTAGAAATGGGGAATTAAATTTTTACCCTTACCAGTGAGATTAATTTATCAGAATCTTTGGTTTGCGGAATAGGACACTGGTCAACTGAGTCCATGAGACAGATTCATATCTGACCAGTTGTTTTCTATCATTCCTCCCACCTCTTATCTACTACGAAGCTGACCTTGCATCAAAAACAGCGTCCAAACACATTTGAATCACGCAAATACAGATTACATTTACAGACTCTTAATATGTCCTCTATCAGCCTTTCGATTAAAAAATCTTAATCCAAATTGATCACTTCTTTATACAGGCAATTTTTCTAGATTTCCTGATTGGCTTATTTTAGTCGAAATAATGCGTGAAAATGGATCCATTCTGTTCAGACATTCATTTATTTCTCGATTTATAATTTACAGGTCAATCGAAAATAAACCATTAGTGGACGAAAAACGAAATAGGGTTCACCATCGCGAGTATTTTTTTTTTTTCACAGCCAAGACACCGTTCATAATCCTCTAAAAGAAATTTCTTGTGCGTTAGAGCCTGATGTACTGTGTAGGAAATTTGAGCCCTCAGACGTGGTTATGCAGATATTATAACGAATCAGCAAGCATGATAACCACCTTCTTTCACTTTTTCTAACCCTTAAAACGCGAGTAACGCCAGTAGCTCATGCAACGTTCCACGACAGCTGACCCGACGACACCCCAGCATGTCAGATCTTCATATCAAGATTTATCTCTTGCTTGCTTTCTTCATTCTTCTTCTTCCCCCAGCCTCCAGTGAGTACATAAACATGTTAACGTTTACAGGCAATAAGATCAGATAGTTTGAATTAATGAAGCAAATTTCTAGGCTTCAAAGCTTAATATTGCATTTAAAGGGAAGTGGAAGCAGCGGATTCATCATCGCTAGTTGAACACAAAAGCTAAAAAAACAGTTAATCTTATGATAAAGCACTATACAAAGTAGAACTAGGGAACACTATTTATTTAATCAATGTAAAGTAAATGGCCTGTGTTATCTGGAATGGTAAAGTGTCCGCAAAAAGCGACTTTAAGGTGATTCTTCAGTAATGTAAGTGGGTGAATAAGCGCGCGCTTGTTCCGAGAACACAGTGTTGCTTCTCGAGCAATGGACCAGGTAAAGAAGCACGATGATTTAGCTCTTGAATAAACAAGGTGACCAATATCCCTGACCGTAGTATGAAGATATCATACTATCATTATTATTTCTTTTAAAGTAGTGCTTAGTAACTTTGTGAAAAACTAGTTATATCCTTTTCCACCTAAAAAGTTTCAGATATCAAACTGAAGGACAATAATATTTCAGTTTCAGTATTTTTTTAAATGAAAGGTTCTTGTGTTCAGATAGATGTACGGTCCAAGTTCTGAAGAGGTATCCGGTTAGTCCGCTCCGTGGTCATTTCGTTCCACTTCAATTTTTCCGAGTTTCGGTCACATTGTTCCAAAACATCGTCACATTGTGCCACTACGAACTCATATTGCTCCACTGAAGGTTTCATTCGTCACACACGTTAAAGTTATCAATGAAGCACTTATCTTTACGTGTACTCCACTCGCGTGTTCTCTGTTTCGTTTCATTTAATAGAAGTAAAATAAACAGGTCACACAACAATTACTGCTGGAGAATGTACGTATACTATTGCTTATTTCGATTTCTAGACACAGCATCGGGCAAGTATTGCATTTTTCATCGCCCGGAAACACGTTACAACTGCGAGTAGATTACTTTTTCGATCATTTTAATGCACGTGATGTTAAATATCACACTCATATGGCCTCTGATAAAGCAAAATCCGTCCTCAGTTTGAGCCAGAAGGTCCGTAATTTTAGAGTTGAAACGATATGACTTCTTAATTGTGACCATATTCCGGAACGATTGATCGAAACTCCGATATTTGTGTCAGCACAAATGCTTTAGAGAAGCGATCTATCGAGGAAGCCTTCTACCTATGTGTTTTTCTATTTTTCATTGAGTCACCCTGACACTTCACTTGGCAACTGGAGGTTTTCAGTTTTCTTCGTCGCATCAGAATCAATACAAAGAAATATAAACTCATATTTAGGCAGAAAAAATTCCTTAAAGCTGTTGCGATAATCCTGTTAAAGGTGACGTTAAGAAAAGGTAGCCAATTAAGGCATCTTACGTGGTAGAAACTTTGACGTGAAGAAACCATGATACTCGTTGGAATCTGATTGATTAACAATATTGAAAATTGTCTTAAGGGGAGCCTCCACTCTTTATAAGCTGCAGGAGAGCTCCCGCGGCACATCGGCGTAACTCTAAGAGTTTTCCGCAGTCCGACAATTTTTTTTCTAAATTTTTTTGACTCCGGTGACGGACTCAGCCGAAAGGCTACTAGTAGTCAAGCTAGGTCTTACCGCCACTTCATGTTTCCAGCGGCCGCCATCTTGAATGATGCGCAGAGTACTCTGGGCTGATGACGTGTAATGGCTGCCCGGTGCATTCGCGACGTAGTGTTTCACTCTTACCATATGGCTGTGTCTCACAAGGACTGGGAACTACCGAATTCACGAATTTGATTGGCTGAAATCAATAATAAAAGCGATCTAGATTTTTCCATCTAGACTTGCATCTAGACCGGTCTAGAAAAAAAGAAAGGCACAAAGGGTATAAAGAATTGGCATATAAGACACAGACATATAAGAGACATCTTATTAACCGAGCTAGGTCGGTCCGTATGGAAGAATCTTGACCTCGGTCGCTGGTACAGACCTCACTGAGTTCGGTCTGTACTGGCGACCTCGGTCAAGATTCTCCCATGTAGACCTCTAGCTCGGTTAATAAGAACTAATTATTGATGCTATATTGCTTATTGATGCTCTATATACTGGGGCCAGATTACCCTTCAAGCGAAGAGACAGGAAAGTAAAGAAGAAGGTGAAGAATATGGGGAAGAGCCAGGTTCTAATTCTGAAAATGTCGACCGCCTGTTGCACACCTCATGGTGTTTATGGCTTCAACTGATGGGGAAGATCTGTGATATAGTCACTAAAAATTTTCTTCGCGCGACAACAATAATAGCATCACCCCGCGAATGCACCGAGTAAGAACGTACCATCGATTACACGTCATCAGCCGAGTGCCTTGCGTGCTTTTCAAGATGGTGGCCATCCGAAAGCCTATCGGACCTTTCTTTGGAAGAGTGTTATAAATCTGCGAGCCAGCGAGCCATACGAGGCATGCGAGCCACAGTAAAAATGTTAAGAATTTTTATTTGTTACATTTATATTCGCATGAGGAAAAGAACAAGAGCAACGGAACTGATTCACTAAAGAGCGAAGCTGTTAAAATGACACGATTTACTCACCATTCTTGACGCCAATACACGGAGTTGCCCTGGAAGTACTGTTCTCTTTTCTCTTGAAAGATTTTCCTTACACCCTATACCCTACTCAGCCAAACTTCAACTCTACAAATCTGCTATTTTACCGCATCTGACGTACTGCGACATTGTGTGGCATTTCTACATATCCCGCGGGTCAGAACGTCCAGCGTCAGTGATCGGGAGAAAACATCTTTAAACGATTTTAGACAAAGCTTAAAGAGACGAAACCTGACCGAATTGTTAAAAGACACCTGTGTGGACTGTAAAATCTGCTCATAAAATAAGATTTTATCATTCTGTATAATTTTTAGCCATCTAAAAGTATTATTAGTATGTAAATAAGGCTCCAGTATTACATCTGAAATTTTACTCTAAATGTGTAAATAACTAATAAATTTGTTTTTAAACTTCTTTAGGTTAAGTAACTAAGTAGTGTTCCCAATTAGTTTTTACACCTGTAAAGCTAAATACATTGACACTTGAATAAAGTTTTCATTCATTCATTCATTCATTCATTCCACGTGGATCTTAATGAATGACAGGAGTCAATGGATTACCACTCCACAACCCATTCGAGTAGCTGAAGGGGGTGGAGCCGTACGTTTTCCTCAG